TGGAGTGGGAAAGGATCATTTGGATTTTTATTATATAGTGAACCCATATGGTAGAGCTGTATAACATGTATATTATTCTCAAGAGCAGAATTTATGAATGCACTTTTCAGGGTCATGGAATTTAAAAGTAAATGTTTGATTTTATTCGTTAAGATATGTTTTAAAAATGTAATTATATTGAACTTCGAATTGTATTATAATTCTACCTGCAGACTTAATGCTGAGATTTTTTTTTTTTTCACAGTGAGCATAAATATGTAATGAAACCAGAGTCCAACAGATGCAATAATAGAAAGCTCAGGTGCAATATGTAACACATCTGAAGGATGTTTGTGTCTACTGTGACATAATGATCCAGAAACATTATGGGTTTATAAGTGTGCATCTAAATACAAGAAGGTGGTTGCACTTCTTTAATTCCACCGCTTGTTTTTTTAACAGCATCCCGTAACGTGGCAGCCTTCTAAAGAGGGAGATCGCTTAATTGGGCGTGTTATTCTTAACAAGAGAACAACCATGCCAAAAGAATCAGGTGCATTACTGGGGCTAAAAGTAAGTATTACATGGTTTATGTGGTAAATGAAAGAACCTTCCACTGACCTTAGACCTAGAGGTCTAACACATTAAATCAGAGGACTATCCAATTATATGATCGTTTGACTTAAAATATGTTCCTCATTTTTAGTAAGTTTTGAAAGTTATACAGCTTTATTATGAATGTAAATGTATTTAATCCTTCTGTGCAGTCTTCCACTCATCCATGGCAAAGGAGCTGAACCGTTTTGATTAAGAAGTGTATGTTTATTCAGCTTCCTGCCTGCGGGACATATACTGCACATTGCAATACACTAATGGAGTCCTGCCTTTTCTGGGTCTACCGTTTGCATTTCAGTCAAGTTAATTCATCTCAGAATCCACATACATAAATGTTATCCAGATATAAATGTTTACAAGGTCAGTGTTTAACATCCACAAAGCCATTCGGAAACAAATTTTGTAAAATGAAACTAAACATTTACACAAAAAATTGCGAAAAAACCTCTTAAAGCATAGTAGAGATTATATTAAATGTAATTCTAGTTAATCTAGTGTGCTAAAATTAAGACATTGGCAACATGGTCCAGTTGATTTAAATCCTTAAATTAGTCATTTCTAGCAGACTTTTAGGTTCATGTCCCTAAATTACTGGAACATTTAAAAGAGAGCACTACTTCTGAAGCTGGTGGGGAGTACAGTGTGCCAGCTCAAGAATTTCTCTGCCCATGTAAATTTTTAATTTTGTGGAGCTCTGAAGATGATTGAGAGAGTTTAATTTGGGTGTCTCCCTCTCCCCACTGAGAACAACGGAACCAATGCAGAATATGAAACATTCCCATCCACTTAGGACTGCGTCTACCTCAAAGGACACTGACACTGAACTGCTCCTTCCATATAGTTGTCTGATAGTTCAGTCTCCTGCATGTGGTGAAGATATGGGTTGGCGGTTCTGCTCGTCATGGTGGGAATTAAATCAGGAAAGAACTTGTGAATTTGGTAATGTGGGATATCCTGAATAAGAGCCATTTATCCACCTTGAAGAGAGATAGTGTGACATGGGAATACAGAAGATGAGAACAGCTTCACTCTACTAAATGTTTAGTAGTCTGTAGCAAAAAGCTAATTTTTGCTGGCAGCAAGCAATTTTTTTTAACATGTGAGAAAAAAAAAACGTTAGTCCTACTAGGAAATGTAGATTGGAGAGATTCTTTTCGATTTTTCGAGTTTCAGTTTTGTATGATATGAACTAAGGCCCCCACTGATAAATTTAACACATTATCTTGTGACAACCTTGTTGACAGGTGGGCTTCTGGATCTTTTTGGATATATATCTGTATTAAAGCTCCTACTAGTTATTGTGATTGCAACGTGGGGAAATAATACCTAATGAACTGGCATTTCACTGTTTCGTTTTATTATAAAACTCCTCCAAAGATATTCCTGACAAAAAAAAAAAGCAGGCTGAAGAGGGTAAGATAGCTGAAGAGAATAGCAAGTCTGCAAGACTACATTTTCTTGGTTTATGTTTTATTAAAAATCTAATCTCTTGAGGGCACTTTTTTTCTCCTGATTTTCCTGATCTCTGTATCATGCAGTCATCTTCAAAATTGCTCTCTTCAGTTCTGTTTAACAAAAGCCAGAAGTTTCTGTTTTGTCCTGTCATGTGCCTGGATGAGAGGAACTGACTTTCAGCAGTAGCAGTGTCCTTGTGAACTCTTTGCCCATGTTTCATAACAGTGTAGTAGCTGAGTTTTTAATTGTTGTACAAATTGCCTTGTGGGATTTTCATATGTTTGATTGGATGTGCACTTGCAATTTAAACTTAAGCACATGACAGAGAAGTATTTGCAAAAAGTATGTTTTCTTGGTTATTTATTAAGAAACATTCTTTCTGCAACAAATTTAGATACTTAGCAAACTGCGTAAGATTGATTAGTCAAACACATTAAAAGGAATATGAATTTTATTCATTCTGTGTCAGCTGTACTTCTTTTCGGGTGGATCTGGCTTTTTTGTGTGTTTTAACTTTGTCTTTAAGCCTCTGTAAAGCCCAAATTGACAACAGATTTGCTTATGCATATTTTAGGTTTAATTTTTAAAATAATCTGAAAACTGATCTGTCTATATATTTATACCTGATATGATGTCTGGTTTGTGGCTTGGAAACTCACAAACTTATGATTAACCAGGTTGTTGGAGGAAAAATGACAGAATTAGGACGACTCGGTGCCTTCATTACCAAAGTGAAGAAAGGTAGCTTGGCTGATGTGGTGGGGCATCTCAGAGCAGGTAAATCAATCAGTTGCGTATAAAATATATTGTCTTTTAATTATGGCTTTTTGTAATGCAGCTGTTAATTTATATTAACATTGGTCATGTGATATGCTAATATATTTTTAAATACAGGACAATACTGTAATGTTATTATGGAATGCCACAGTTGCCTACATTTCTAATTTTTTATTAACTCTGACGTATGAGCAAAATACAAGACAATTCTGATCAGTGCTGGTGTCAAGACTGAGTGTCACTGGTAAATTTTTGCCTGCTAGCTCAGGAGCTGCTTGTTACACTCTGTAGGAGCAATGCAAACATGTTTTAAAACTCTTTCATTTGATCTCCTACTGATTCTCAAAAGTAAAAAAAACTGCTTAAGTCCTCTAAAATAGTGATACAGACACCTTGCATGTTCCTATCCAGGATTCTCAATCATGTCACACCTATTTTGTCGTCTTCAAAATGTGATAGATTCATTGCTGTGTAAATTAGGTTTAAATTGTGATTTTTAGTGTTACAAATTCAGTGCATGTCCCTGTTGGTTTTTGCCATTAAGTTATAACTATTGCAAAACTGGCCACATCTTGTTCCTTTTAATGCCTGGGAATCTTTTGTAAATTAAGTCCATTATCTCTAAAGAAATCAGATTTTATTTTAGGGAAAACAACATGATAGGGTATAACAATTGTTAGCTTTAAAATCCAGTCAGAATTGCAGAAGAAACTGAGTGTCATTTCTCTGAGTTCTATAAATTTTAAATGAAGCTCCTAGGCAATATCTAATTCCTGTTCCCCCCTGACATAAGATTATGTAATAAATGTATGAAATATTTAAAACCGTTTCAGCTAAATAACATGGTCGAAAATTAAACTTAGATCAGCAATTATTAAGTCTGTCATTAGCAAGCCCTCATGTTTGAAGAATGCCAAAATGCTTTGAAAGCCAGTGGAATACCCTGTGGAGTCCTTTCTTAAAATACCAAAATATGGGCTGTTTGGGAAAAAAGACTGACAATTGCTGAACATACAGAGAAATTCATGCCCTGTGTTTTGGTATATAGGACTTCAGTTAGATCTTCTCAGAAAGGAGCAAAGCCAGCAGCTGAAGGGTTGTTCCTGACTTCAAGATTTTCACCGTTTTGTAATAAGGACAAAATACAGTGTAATGTACATACTGTTTAAATTCCAGAAATGGCAAGCTGAAAAAAGAAAGTTATCTAAATAACTTTCACATCATGTTTTTCTTTGTCCCCCTCTGACATCCTCAGGAGATAGTGACTCAGTCCTTGCTTTTATTTTTGGTTCATTTGACACAGACAGTGAAGACTGTCCTTTGTGTAGAGAAATCAAAATGCACAGTATATAAATTGTAGCAAAATGTCAAGTTTTTTAAAGTCTTAACAGTAGGTATTTATATTTTTAATTTTTGAAGATTAACTTGTTTTCAAAGTTTATTACTGCTAGTTAATAAAGGATCTTTTAAAAAGATTCTTTCATTTCATAGCACAATAGCAGGTCCTGTATTATTTTGGAAATACTGACTGTGTTTGCACAAGTGGTTTCTTTAATATGTTTTGTGTATACAAATCGTAGCTATGTTCTGAGAAAGGAGCCTTCATAGTGTCTCAAAAACCTTTTTTGAGTTTCAGCACAGCTTTTTAATTGATTGTGGGCAATGTTACTTCATTATATAGATTTCATAAATGTTTCGCACTTCTTTGCAAAAGAATATGGAAATGAGATAAATTTCTCTTTAAATTCAAGGGGATGAAGTTCTAGAGTGGAATGGTAAACCCTTGCCTGGAGCTACAAATGAAGAAGTTTACAACATTATTTTAGAATCAAAATCAGAACCTCAAGTTGAAATTATTGTTTCAAGGCCTATTGGGTAAGGCTAAAGACTTGCTTCTTAAGCACAGTTATTATTTCTACTAATGGGACTTTCAAAGGGACTGTTTGTGAGTTCATTATTTTTTACCTCTTAGAAAGTGAATCATATTCCATTATTATCATTGACATTCTGTATATTCCATTTTCTTCACTGCCATTTACAGTCTTGGATCTTTGCAGTAATATATATCTATAAAAGTATAAATGTTGTTTTCTCTATGGTCAAAGTACTAACAAGGTTTTTGCCAGGCAGCAAAGGAAAATTGGTGGATTGAGTGGACCTGTGCATGAGAAAAATCTGTTTTTCAGACGTTTAGCTTCACTAAATCAGAATAACTTATACAAGTATTTTTGAGTAGAAGGAAGCATCAGCAAACATTGAGCATTGCAGGATTGTAATAAGTCAGTGCTAGAAGAATTTTAAACAGGCCTCCTTTAAAGAACTAAAAAAAGGAAAACCAAAACTCTCAATTGAAAAGAATGTATTTAGCCTTAAATGATACTATCATCAAAATCAAAAGTGGAAACAAAAAGTTTCATCAAAAATTAACATCAACATGTTATGTTTATAATCTTTAATTTTTATGTATTATAAATCCAGGTTTGGGGTTTTGTGATAACAATTTTTATACCCTTGATTTCCCAAATAAGCCTTAGAAAGATCATAAAATTTGTTCAAATTGATAACATAAGAGGGATTGGCCCTGCATTTGTCACAACTGTTTTACTGATATTCTGCATTCCTTCTCCAACCACTATTGGAACTGTTTTGAGCTAAGTCTTACAGGATTGAATATGAATCATATATTGTAAATTCACATTTATATTGCAGAACAGAGCCACATGATTAACAATAAAAAGTGACTCTTGACTAGTTGAAAAAAAACACATTAAAAGGATTTGAATCTCTCTGTAGTTTGTCACCTTCCCAGATTTCATGTGCAATCACTGTAAGTCTCTCAATACACAGGTCCTGTAGGTAGATGGTAAAATCTTTCCTCCTTACGAATGCACGATTATTTCATTTTGAATTTGCTAGTTTTCATCCTAATTATAATTTTTATCTGTCTCAAATACGATAAGTTTTCAGTTTTAGAAACAAGAAACACTTTATTTTCTTTCTGACTAAAACATTATTCTTTTACATTTATTTCACATCAGCTTTTGATTTTTGCTTTATTTTTGGGTGTTGGTATACTGTACAAGTGTAGCTATGTTTTGCAAATGAGTTTTGCCTTTTTAATGGCAATTGCTATTAAAAGTACTTCAATAAAATTAACATTCTTTGCTAATTCCAGTTATGAGTTTGACCTTCTAATGGAAAACGAAAGCTTGATGCAATAATAGTGGTTGTTAAAGGCTAAAATTACCATCCAGATGGAGACTGTGGAGGAAGTAGAAACCTTATTTTACATTCTTTAGTTGGATAAATTCAGAGAAAAAAGCATTCCTGACTGAAATTTGCAAATTCAGTCTTGTGTCTTTGTAATTAAAAATAAAATGCATATGGAGATTTTTGGAAGTCTATTTTTCATGTTTAAATCAGCAGAAAATAAATATTTTGATACTGGACCTGACTTGAACTCCATGTCTCAGTTGAAGAAAAACTGAAAATTGATTTGTACAACTGGTGTAAAAGGAAAGTGCTAGATTAGTATTTTAAATAATGAGCTTTAGATATATTTATTGCTATCAATATATTTGCAAATGTTGCGTATCACTAAACTTTTAAGATAACTTCATTATTAAACCAATTGAATTATTTTAGTTTATGAATTCGGTAAATCTAATAGCTTCAAAAAATGAAGTACAAGGTGACCACATTCCAGGGACATATTCTTGAGGAAAAATCAAAAGAAAATACCACAACTGTTGAAGTGAGGAATAGAACATGAAGTCCATTCAAAATCAAAGAATATTTCTGAATCTGAGCAATGAATTTTGCACTAAAAAGTGCACCCAGAAATAGTACCAATAAAATGTGAAGTTTTGCTTTGGATGACCCATGCATATTTTTTTCAGACGTAGGCAAAAATAGAGCACATCAGATTGTGCTTTTATTTTGAGATAAATGGAGTCTCGGCATGGAGGTTTTTACATACTATAACATCATCATTCTTGTAGAGGTGTGTCTTGTTTTTTTTTGTTTTTTTTTTTTTTTTTTAAATTTGTTTGAGGGTTGTTTTGGTTTTGTTTTTTTTTTCTTTGAGAAGACCAAATAAATATCCAAAAGTGACTAGAGTATATAACTTTGAAATTTAAAGATATTTTCTTTTTCCTACAGTAATCAGTCAAAATCCTGTGGTTTTTTATCAGATTGGGATTTACCTGTCTGTCATCTTAGAAGAACAAAAAATATCAGACATTGTACAATGAAGGAAATTCTGATATTAGCTAACAAAAGAGAACATACTGCACAGGACTTTTTTTTTTTTTTAATAATTATAATCCATGTAAATTGTGTTACATAATGGGAAATTGTTTGCTTGCATACAGATTACTGCCCCCACCGCCCCAACTTCTCCTTGTCCTGTTGTCCAAACTATGTGATTGTTTCAAATTCATGACAGGAAATTTTATTTAATCCAACAAATCTAGTCTATCAAAGTTTTGTGTCTACTTTAGGTGCTGACTCAGCAAAAGTGAAGATGCTTGATACAGCATTAAGTGGTAATCCATTATACCTAAAATTCCTGTGAGGTTCCCAAAAGACCTGAAAAATTATATTTTGTCTGCATAATTTAAATGTTTTCATCTCTCGGTATTAATAATGCAAATAATGTACCAGTACTTTTAATGGTCTCAATTTAAAAAGTCCTAGCATATTCTGTCTAAAAAGCTCAAATATGACACAGATTGGCTTAAGTGAATAATGGGAGGACTGTAAGCTCACAAATTAGATTGCCCACAAATTAGACTGCCAGTTACAAAATTGATGTCTAAACAATTTGCTCAGTCTTGTAAATTTGGATTTCTGTGTCTACCAGCAAATGCAATTCTGAGTAATGGCTAATTGTAGGATGTTTATTAGAGAAAAATATGAAGCATGTAACACTATTAGCAGATGAAGGCATAACAACAATAAACAGTATAACCACAATAGTACCGTGAATACTGCATAGAAACTAATTGACGCTAATGCTGATGATTGCAACACAAGGTAGATAAGAAACCTATAAAAAGTAGAGTTAATGGGTTGGCTATCTAAATATGAGGGGAAGAATTACCTATGAATATGCATACAATGTGAGAGGTGGTTAACATAGGACAGCATAGAAAATCCTCTGGCAGTATGCTTTTTGGAGAAGAAACTTGGCATGATAACTTAACTCGCCGTCGCTTGTGTGCTCGGGTGAGCTCTATGGGATAGTGCAGGTAAACCAAATGTTTTTTCACTTGTCTTTGTTTTCTTTGTCAGATGCTAGCTATCTTTGCTTGGATTTCCCCAGATATTGCCAAAATTGTTGTTTTGCAGATTGATCTACAGGTTCGGATGGGAAGGAATGGTTTTGGAAATAGGAGGATGAGCACTGGGGATAGGCACTCAGAAGCTCTTGAAAACTGCAGGGTGTAGAAATGCTTCTGTCCCTAGAGCAACCTAAAAAAGTGTGGGTTACAACCACATTTGAATTTGGTTTGTCTTCAGTGATCAAGCTCTTGACTATAGCCCTCAGAGAAATTATAGCTGTTCCTGTGGTTTACAAAACAGTGATCCTCACAAACCATGTATCCGCACAGAGTAGTCTCAGCCGAAGGTATGGTTTGGTTTAGAGTGTGTATTCATTAGAGGTGTGGAAAGATCAGAGATAAGATATTCATCTGTAACATCACGTAAGACCACAAAATACCTTTGCCTTCCAAGGTAGAGGGAGAAAGACAAAGTTCCATGTTGGCACCTCTTTACAGGATATGTCTGACGTTACTTTCTGACATTCACATTGCTCTGAAAGGGCAGTAAAATTTTGTTACTATTTTAAATAGGTTGGTGTGCAACTTCTTACTTTTCTTTTTACCATTTGCTTTGACAGTCTAGTTTTTAATATTTTAATTCTTCTGAATTATTTTATTCATTATAATTCATTATAATGTTTTATTTCTTCTGAAGAGTTTTTTTTAGTAAATCATAGTGTGAGAATATTTTCTTTAATCCAAAAATAAAAGCAGGCTAGATAAGACTAATTTTCTTATATAACAGGTTTTAGATTATAATTTCTTTTTAGAATTTTCATTCTTTAATTAAAATGCTAATATTTAAAAAAAAATCCATTCATATATTTGATAGTCTAGTACACCAGTTATTTTTCTTATGTGCATGTAATATTTAAGAAATGATTGTGTAAACGGGATTATTGAATTTGTAAGAAATTCACATATAGACAGAAGCATAGCTTTAAATTACTTCATGTACATTTGAAATCAGTAGCAGAAAGCACAACTGTGACAGAGTTTGCCATGAGTTTGGTGATCAGTATTTTTTCTTTCATTTTTGTATATTGCAGTTCAGTATGGAACTGTATTTAAACAAGATAAATATATTAGGGAAGAGATGTCCTAGCAATAATTTAATGTATATGTGCGCACATACACACACATGCGTATTGTATGTATAAAAAAATCTAAATAATATGTATCTTTTATATATATTCTTAAAAAATATATCCATTGTACTATAAAGTTTTAGGTATATTTCAAAAAACATTTGTCTGGAGTTGAAATTTATGTTCTAGCTTCCACTGTTCCTGTCAGTTTTTCATAAGAATTACAAGGATTTTGGAAAAATACGTTTAAAAAAATTGTACTTTCAGTTCTGTCCTGTCTGGTGAGTGAAGTCTTAAAGATCTGATTATTCTTGTCATTTACCTTTACCTGGTGAGGACTTTTGTATCACCAGCTCTAAGAGGAAAATATTCTCAACTTGGCCATTTGTTTTTTGTGATGTGGCAACTTTGTTCCAGTGTCTGTTTCTTCCTCTTGTAAACTGTGTGGACCTGATTCTTGTGTTGATTTATTATTAAACTTTTCTGTTTCAGTCTAATAGTATGAAGGTGCCTTAGTTTAAGTATAAATCAGTTCTTAAGTGCCTATATATGTAATTAATATTTCAGGCTTATTTTTAGCCTTTTTTTTTAATTTATTGTTGACAATACAGATAAAATTCCAAACAAAATTAATTTTAACATCTTTCTTCACCCACTCAAGGATTATGAAACGTGACACTGTAGCTTGCACATATGAACCCTCATTTAGCTATCTTAAACGTGATGTTGTTTTGAACAATGCTATACTGCCAATAAGAGTGTTCATATTCTAGCACGAGAAAACATTGCAAACTTAATGTTGCATTGAACAGAAAAATCAGTTTGAATATTGTAAGTAAATATTTCAGACTGCTGAGAATTGTCCTGGAAATTCTGCCCTGGAAAGAGAGAAAACATTAAGAGGAAGAAGTCTGCACAGCAGCCCTGCTGTGCAACAGGTTGTTAATGTGTTTGTAAAGTAGTACTATGCTGTGTCAAGAATGAGTAATACTCTTGAATTACAAAGTCAAGGCAAAGAGAAGCACTTTCTTGCTTAGTGATGTGAGATGTAAGCTGATGTGAGACATTAACTTGGAGCTAAAATGGGCTTTGTTAAAACACGGGTACCAGAAGTTTAAATTGCAGGACATGAAAAGTGAGTTTAAGACAAATTCATTGGGCACTGTTACATTCCTTTTCTGACTTAAGTGTCTGTTTCTTTTTCATAAGTGATCTTTATATACTTAGGAGTCTTAGTTTTATTGACTTCCAAGTTAGTAAAATAATATTTCACTGAACAGAAAAATGCCTGAATACCTTTAAAATGATCAGCTTTGGACTTAAAACCTTGTAAATGTTCTTCACAAATGTTATTGTAGTTACAGCTTTGGATTGTTTTGTGTGGATGAAAATATTTTCAATGAATTCACTGCTTTTGTTTCTATTTTCCTGCTCTGCTGCTTTGCTAACATTGGTACAATAATAGATTGTTCTTGCATTTTCAATATAATTGCTGAGAACAGAAGAGAGCCAGGAGCTAGCATCATCCAGGTTTTGATGGAAGAATAAATTTGTTGATGGCAAAATTTTGATAGATGTGTGTGGACTTAACCAGTTTGATTTTGCTTATACCTTTATATCTACTGGGTATGCGTATGTTGAAAAATGTCCATAGCCAGTATGGTTAGATTTTTTTGTTTGGTTGGGGTTTTTTGCCTTTGAAGAAATGCATTATTCTTTTGTTTGTTTAACATTGATAATGTTATTTGCTTTTTCTTTTTGTTTGTTTAACATTCTAATGTTTTTTGCTTTTTGTTTTTATTATTATAAGACATTTTCATCAGTTTCATTCTGTGAACTCCTTGAGACGTTTATATAAAAATTACTAGTGAGTTAATCTATGTCTTTTTGATTTTCTTTCTTTTTCCTCCAAAAAATAGTTGAACATTCATAGCTATACTACCTTTTGCTGCCTTTCTTTTCCTAAAAACTCTCTAACTTAATTGTTCTGGTGGTAAAAATATTGTGGAATCCATCCACAATATTAACATTGTAGTGCTCATATCGTTACATCTGCTAGTTCCTTAACTTGAAAGAAGTAGTTTGCATTAGTAAGATTTTCATGAATGCTAGTGGAAAATATGTGTCTCAGTATTTTCCCTTTTTTTCCTTGTAACCCATTAGAACAATACCAGATCCATATTTCTAAAAAGGTGTCCCAGAAATGTGTTTGTCACAGCAGGTGATCATCTCCCTTGTTTCTAATTACTATGTGTATATTCACGTTTTAGTGATATTCCACGGATTCCTGAGACTTCTCACCCCCCGTTAGAGTCTAGTGAGTACATGCCTTGTTCCTTTCACTAAGCATGGTCTTGTACCCAGCACAATCGTTTTGATTATGAGTTTTCTGAAAGATGAGCACTGGGAGACTGCATTGACTCCGAGGTTTTTGTATGATAAAATTCAATGAGTTTTCATTTTGTGTGTTAAATTTAAAACAATATGGAATTAATTAAGGCTATACAGATTTTAAATGTTAGCAGGATTTTATTATTTTCTTCTCTGTCTTGTGTTGTTAGTACCATACTGGTAGTCACGCTGTGGCCCAAAGCAGTCATTTACTGGCCCTAACATAAGAGAGAAAACAGGTATAAGAGACTGCCAAAGGTACAAATGATGTCAGGATTTCACTACTGCACCATCCAGCATAAGTCCAGAGTTCTTATTTCTCTTTTTCTTAACAAGAAAATGTTGGTTAGGTGAACTTTTTGTGTATTGTGTTTCAAAATAATGATTTTGTTTTTAACTGTCCCATTTGAATGGTGTCAGCTAGAGTGTGTGAGGGCCATGGCTCCCAGTCCTTTCTGATCTGAGCCTTGTCTGAGATGCAGCCAGAAACCTTCCCTCAGGCAGGGTCCTGTGAGGCCACCGAGTGCTAACATCCATCACGAGGTCCCTTCCTGTGTGCTTATTCCTTGGGAGTTAAAATTTCAGAGGCTACCGGGAGTATCATCTGTACAACAGATGTGGGTTTATTCACCAAAGATTTCAGATTATAGAATCATAGAATAGTTTGGGTTGGAAGGGAGACGTGTAATTCTGTCAGAGAACAATATTTTTTTAAAAGTACTTGGTATGATTTGTCACTGCTGTATGAGGAGCACTTTTTAATGTGTTATTTCCAATAAAACAAAAAATGGCAGGTTTAATCTGGAGTAAGGGTATCCAGACAGTCTCTTTCACCATGCTATCTACATCAGTTTAAAATCTTTCAATGTATTAATCCAGTTTTACCATTTATAAATACAAACTTCATACAATTCAAATTAAAAGCAATTCATAAGTTATCTGAGTTCGCTTCAAAATTTTGCATGGCAAGTTCATGTGTTTCTCTTGTGTTTTTAGGTTCCAGTTCTTTTGAATCTCAGAAGATGGAAAGGCCTTCTATTTCTGTTATATCTCCGACCAGCCCTGGAGCCCTACGGGATGCACCACAAGTCCTACCAGGGCAGCTTTCTGTGAGCATACTTTGTTTTTCCTGAGTTGTTAATGGAAATCTATGAAGTGCTGGTCCCTCAGCCCACCACATTCCCAAGCTCTATTGGGAGGTCGAGAGAAATATCTGTTGTTGGTAAAGACTAACATCTTTCAAAAGATTTTTAAGACCTGCTGTACACTCACAAACCATCACTGTAATTGCAGCAGAAGAGTTATTGTCTTAATACACCAAAGAGCGCAGGAATTTACATTGGGAGGAGGCCATAAAAGTGCCTTGTAACTTGTCATCCTATACCCTCTGCTTTGAAAATGGTGACTCTTCTGTACATGTCCAGTAATCTGCAGATAACAAGTGTAGTATCACTTTATCTTCTTAATGGGAGTGTTTAAAGATCTGTGTATGTAAGTGTTATACTATTCAGTAATGCTTTTTAGTGTAGATACACACCACATCCTGGAACCGTCTGTAATACTAATTGAAGCTGTGCTTATTAAATATACTGTGAGTACTTAGACTTTGCTTTGTACATTCCTATATTTTTTTATACAGATCATGTTAATTTCTAAGTATACAGCAGGCTCAAAAATTTCATGATGTTACGATTTTCCTAAGAAATGATATAGCTATATATTATACTTTTCATAAGAACATTTGCAAGGTTACAAATCAGAGTAGATAAATTTCAACTACACCTGGAGTTTAGCTGCAGTCAGGGCTTCCTATTTGAATGTAGTTTTTAAGGTGCGGAGCTAAGATATATGCTGGTTTAAATGCACTCACAAATACGAGAGTACAATAAATAATGTAAGTAGAGACAAGCACCACTATTTTATTCAGCTATAGCAAATGAAAGAGTCTTTGGTATATACCATCATCTTTTTCATCTAACTTAAATATTAAGGAATTTGAAATAAAATATTGTCTCTTGGAAAAAACAATGGTTACTTTTACATTGTGGTTAATGTGATGCAGTCTGAAAATTCTGTTTTTTCTCCATTTTCAGTAATGTTTTCTGGTAACTTGGTTCTTGTAGGTTAAACTGTGGTACGACAAAGTCGGACATCAGTTAATAGTAAATGTTCTGCAAGCAACAGATTTGCCACCAAGAGTAGATGGACGCCCCAGGAATCCTTATGTAAAAATGTATTTTCTTCCAGACAGGAGGTAGTAGTATTTCAGTTTAGAAAATTATGTTGTGATTTACCATGTATTGAATCAAATTTTAAATGAATCCTTGTGAAATAAAGAATGCTTTTTAATAATTTATTACAGTTAGATTAATTATAACAAAAATTTGTGCTTGAATCATGCAAGTCAGTGTCAAATTAACTTTGTGGACTTTTGGATGAATGTAATCCACTGTACAGCAAATGTTTTTAGGCATTATCGAGTCAGAAAGAATGAAAAAAGTAAGTGCTGATGAGTAAATGGCATTTTGTGATTTAGCTTACAAACAATTTGTAACAAATATTTATCTTTCAGTGATAAGAGTAAAAGGAGGACCAAAACAGTAAAGAAAAGTCTAGAGCCAAAATGGAACCAAACTTTTCTCTACTCACATGTACATCGTAGAGATTTTAGAGAACGAATGCTTGAAATAACCGTATGGGATCAGCCAAGAGTACAAGAAGAAGAGAGTGAATTTCTTGGAGAGGTGATACATACAATCACATTTCTCCCAAGTTCATTGTTTGGCTTTGGATACATATGCACATATATTTTATATATGTGTTTGTGTGTGCGCCTTGAAAGTAAAATTAAAACCTGATAATTTTTCTACAGATTCTTATAGAGCTGGAGACAGCACTTTTAGATGATGAACCACATTGGTATAAGCTACAGACACATGATGAATCTTCACTACCTCTGCCTCAGCCATCACCTTTCATGCCAAGAAGACATGTTCATGGTGCAGAAAGCACTAGCAAAAAATTACAAAGTAGGTCCAAATTCCATTCTTGTCTCTTAAAATTTAAATTAGAAATGCTGGATATGGTATAATGGTATTTAGCTTTCATTTACAAGATTAAAGACTATGAAATAGTACTTTTAACATAATGAAAATATGAGGCAGAAAAGAGATGCAAATTATGACATTATGACATGGCAGCCTTTCACCTGTGATGCATTACTTTCAGGTATGTGAAACCTGTTGGAATTGGTTTGGTTTTCACTAGCAAAATAAAATTGTTCAAACATTTGTTTGCATAAATTTCCTTTTAAATAGAAAGATGAAGTTAATCATTATTGGATACTTTTTTAATAATTAAAAACTTTTTTTTAAAATAAAAGTCCTTAAAGACTAATGAGGCTTATAAAAACTTTTCATCATAAAGTTAGTCTCAACCTCCAATATGCTCATTATACAACCAGATGAGAAGTGTACTTTTGCAGCAAATAGAAAATGTATGCATGTATTTGGGAGGTACAGTTGTTTTGATGAGTCTGATTTCAGGTTTGTATAAGGCATATTAAAATCATGAATATATTGAAATATCTGAATATTGTAACTTCTCTCTTGATTTAAATTAATTTAAGATTTATTTAGAAATATAAAGGACGTAGGGGATTATTTTAAAATATGTTTCCAAGCTATTTTTCTGATTTTTCTTGAACATGGGAGTCACTCATTCCAGCCAATTCATAGGAAATGGATTCAGGAATGAATTATAAAAATGTGGTACTGCTGTGATTGCTGCATAAGGATATGTATAGAGAGAGCAAATTAAAGGTTAGTTTTCATGAGATATTTGAACTTTTCTAGAAGCTGGCAGTGCTGTTTCCTCTTCCCCTCTCTCACCATATGCTGCCACTTCCCCTTTCCT